GCTATGTGGAAAGTGCCTATGTAACAGTAGCTTCTGTTTATTAAATATTATATGCTACTTTTTAAAAAATATCCAAGGCAGTTTCCGGGGGTGCTTGGTGTAGCAAAATGGCCTTAAAACATCTTAAGAAGAGAAGAAGGTAATGACATAAGAACAGCCATTAGTCGCCATTAAAAACCTTGGAGAATAAAAAGTTAGTTTAATGCTTGTAGCCACTTTTCTATTTAAAAACAACCCAAGTAAAATAAAATCTAGCAAAATGCAACCATTTAAAAATAATAATACATCAATTAACAATGAAAAACAGGTAAAATAAAAGGAAGTGGTACTAAAATCCCTGCAGGTACAGGTCACTGATGAAAAACTAGCTTAAATTAAAAAATCTTAACCATTTTTTTGCAAGACAAGAGGGTTCCTGATGATTCTCCAGTGGGGGGGGAGTTCCAAGTGTGTCCCACCACTGAGAAGGCCCTGTCTTTGCACTCTTTTGCCCATGTATGGACAGGACAGTAAATAGGTTTCTTATAGCTGATCTCAAATGTCATGTACAGCTTTAGATGTCTTAAATCAGGATTGGGGAACCTTTAGGCCTCCAGATGGTATTGGACTTCAACTCCCATCAGCCCCAGCCAGCATTGCCAATGGTTAGGAATGATGGGTGTTGTAAACCTGCTGTGCTAGCAGCAGCCAAATTGAATTCTAAACTGGGAGGAAACTGTTTTTGCACAAATTCATCCTGATTTGTGGGATATCTTGATATATCTACTGACCACAATGCCTCAGCCATTTGCCACTGGTAACAACATTCAGATCTAGTTCTCTAAGTACATCATATGAGGTGTTCTTCAGGGCTGTTTCATCCACGACATTTTCCTATACAGGAAAGTGTGGGGTTTTTTTGTAAAACCTTTGCAGTTTCACATATTGGCATGGTCTATTTTGCTTTGAGGAAATAGCTCAGGATGTTACTTGTCTGCTTCCCAATGTACTCTCAGCCAGCTCAAAGCTTGTGACTTGATATATAAAAAATGCAAGTATCCCTGATTTTAAGACAGCCCCACTCTGCTTTCTCAGCCTGGAAGCTTTTGGTTCTTGGAATGTTTCTTGTCTAAGTATATACCGTATTGGTTTGAATATAAGCCTCACTTTCCCCCCAAATTCTGAACATGAAAAATTAAAGTGTGGCTTATATTTGCGACCTTATGGTATGCAGCGAGGAGCTTGGGGCAAACAGCGCCAGGAGTGCAGAAAAGCAGCACCCACCCCGTGCATAGTCCCCCGTTCTCTCCCCCAAGGCTGGGAAGAGAGAGAGCGAGGAAAGGGAAAGACCTCTGGTAACCCCCCCCCCCAGTATGCCGCCAGGAGCAGCAAGGAATGGAGCGGCTTATATTCAGTTCCCCCCCCTCCAATTTTAAAGGTGCAGCTTATATTCGGGCCAGCACACTACACCACACATTTAAAGCACATAACTTACCCCCAAATAATATTGGTGACTGAATTCTGTTAAGGGTGCTGGGGATTGTAGCTCTATGATGGTTCATGGGAATCTTTGAGGGAAGTCATGTTCTTTAAGGGAGAAATCCTATGGCAAGGTCTGCTGGAATGATCACTTTAGGATGCAGTGGATCTCCATCTCAGCTGCCTTATTCCTAGCTCAGCTGAGCACAGCCAACATTATATCTTCAACCTCGTCACAGCGTGAGCATCCAGCTAGGATGGGGCTTGTATACGTCCCCAAAAAGAGACATGATGGGAGTGTAGCAGGGGCTGGACCAGAGGGGGCTGGATCCTAAGAGCAGTCAACTCATTTGTGTGACCAGGCAACCCAGCATAGACCACTATTTCGTAGGCTTGTTTTCTCTCTGCCAGGCTTAAGCAGAGCAGCAGCAGCAGCAGCAGCCCTGCTGCTGAACAGAGTTTGGATCTGATATACTAGCTTGACTTACACTGGCAGGCTGAATGTCAACTTGCTGTCCATCTGCTTGCTAAATGTATGGTGTGTGTACGCCATCCCAGATCTGAAGACAGGCAAACTAATCCTATTGAATAGAATTGCTGGGGTCTGTCCATGGCATGTTCTAAAGCAGGGGTAGACAAAAATTTGATCTGGATTTGCTGGTAGATGACTTGGGTGAGTTACAGACAGGGTAGGGGAGAAAATCATTGTGCCAAATTTGCACTACCTGAACTTCAATGCAGCTGTCTTTTGAAATTTGCACTTCTTTGAATTTTGTGATATGCTTCTCAAACAACCACAAAATGTTTAAAATGAATGAGAGAAAATTGCTTGCACAGAAATGTGTCTGCTAGGCAAAATGGCATACAAACATAATTATATAAAGATAAATGTGCATGAACATGTGTGCAAAAAATACATTTTCATGTTAAAATAAATACATGAACTATGCAGAAATGGGACAAACTATTTAAGACTGACAAAAATTTAAATCGGAAATGGATAGATTTCTGCATCGGAAAGGATTTCTGATGCTCAATTGTTTGACAGTCTCAGCCACAATATCCCTCCCCATAGCTGCCCTCTGCCAGCCCACCCTAAAATATAAAATTAAAAGAGCTGGGGGGCAATAAGAAATGGAGTTGTATGTGGAAGGATTCTGAGCTCCATTCCATTCCAGTACTCAAAACAAATCCCTAGGTTCAAATTTATTTAATGTTAGTATGAATGCCTTTTGCACATACTTTCCGTAGGTGGATCTCGGGTTTCTTGCAAAAAAACAAAGTAGATCCAGCAAGCATGAATTCTGTTCATCCTTGTTCTAAAGTCCCAAAGGTAGGTGAGGCAAGAATCCTAAGTTGGAACAGGGAGCGGCAACTCAAATGGAAAAATTAAATGGCGGTGCATACCATGAGCAAAAGGTAGTTGCTCCACAGAGAAGGAAGGAAGGAAGGAAGGAAGGAAGGAAGGAAGGAAGGAAGGGGGGTTCATATATCTCCACTGATTGCTTATAAAGGCCCAAGTTGTGCTCTGAGAACCCCAGCCTTGTATTGAGCCAACAGTCACAGGACACATGGGAGGTCATCTTTCTGTTGCCCTGTGACAGTTTATAACGGGGTGGCATACTTTTTCATTACAAGGACTGCATTACCTTCAGGGGGGCACAACCAGTGATAGATTAGGCCAGAGAGAAAAGGAGGCGAAGCAATTAGCGTAACTTTTACCTTCCCAAGTGCATCTGGCTGGACACTATATCAGAACAGGATGCAGGACTAAGATGGGTCATTAACATGCACTTTGCATGATGTATAAGGTCCCAGGTTCATTCTCTGCCATTTCCTTTTAAAAAAGAACAATTGCCCACTAAAAATCTCCCATGTTCATTACTAGAGCAGGCACATTGTAAAGAGAGCCAGTGGGATGTAGTGGTTAGTGTGTTCTACAAGGACTGGGAAGACCATGGTTCAAATCTCCAATGTGCCAGGAAGTTCACTGGATGACCTTGAACCAGTCACAGTCTAACTCTAACCTATCTCATAGGCTTGCAAGAATAAAATGGAGGCAGACTATGTATGTTGCCTTGAGCTCATTTGGGGAAAGGTGGGTTATATAAATGTAATAAATGGAAAACAAAGCTAGAATAAATATCTCCAGTGTTACCACACACAAAAACCAAAGCACTTCTAGGCAGGAAGCTGAGTGGAATTCCGTTTTGCTGTAGGCCTCCGTGTCCAATTTGACTTTCTATGCATGCAGATTATGCTATGTGCCGGCTCTCCTCCCTGCCCCGAGATGGTTGATGTCACAGTCTCTTTGCAGTTTCCCTTGTGGATGTCAATCGCCAGCAGCTCGGTACTGAAGCAGAATCCTTGGTTTCCCTGTTTAACAAAAGCTGGTTTTCCTTCACAAAGGAAAGGTTGCATGCCCTCAGCACCCCGATTTTTTAAAACAAAAAATGTTGACAACCCACACCATTGGGGCAGAGTAGAACTAGTCCCATTGCCTGCAACATGATGCTAAACAAAGGAGCGACTGGCTGCCAGGAAATTATTCGTGAGCGTTTTCCCACTCACACACGTGTATTAATTATACACACATACACGTGCATGCATCTACAGGCACACACCTAAAGAAACTCCGAAGTACTGGGTCTGCAGAAACTGCCTCAGGACACCTCACACTTTTGAGGCACCTTCGAGAGGCAAAATGCTACCAGTGAGAAAGGAGGGGGAGAAACTAGATTTTCTGGAGGAGATAATAATAAGGGAGAAAATGGTCGCGGGGCACAAAGGACAGCAGAGAGAGGTTTTTCTTGCGAGACAACAGCAACTTTGCTTAATAAATGTGTCAGGAAGAGGGAAGCCATGTTCCGCCCACGGCAGCCCCACCCTGCGCAGCTAAAGGAGTCGGCACCGCCTGGCGCTGCGGGGGCCTTCGCAGTGCCCACCGTGTTGCCCTTAGCAAAGATGGCGCCTCCTCCCTCGCCCACGGACCGAGTCCTCCGCATGCGGCCCTTTCCCTATGCTTCACAAGGCGGCGGCAACCACCATAATTTTTTTAAAAAAGTAGAACAGTGTCAACACGCTCCTTATTGTCACTTCCGGTAGAACATCGAAACTATTTTATTTGGTCCCAGTGAAAGACAAACGCATACAGGGCTTCCATCATAGAGATGCCAGGGGCTAGACGCCACTCCTGCGCTCATGCAGGAGAGAATCGCGGCTAATGGCGGCTTCCAGTGTAGAACCATAGACTTGCAATGGCCTTAAAAAAAAAAGTTTAAACGGAAGTCCCGGATGTAAGTCTATGGCGAGTCTAATGGCTCCTCCCTCTATGATTTCGCCTACGTTCTGACGCCGGAAGGGCGGCTGCTCTTGGATTACTGCGCAGGCGCCAAGGGCTTCCTTGCCAACGGAAGTGGTTCGCCGCGGGCCGGAAGTGGGAGGAAGAGCGGCTGTGACTGTGTGAGAGAGATGGAGATGGAGCCGTTGAGTCCCCGCGCTGAGCACGCAGGTTGGGGGGAGAAGGAGGAACAGCGGTTGTCTCCGGGGGCCGCCAGCTGAGGGAGAGAGGGGACTGGCTCCCAGACCCTCCTCTGAGAGGCTCGCCCCACAAGCGCCTCTTTACATGGGCTCATCCCATAGGCTGCCGCTTGCCCTATAAGCTCCCTTCTTCCTGCCGAAGGAGAGATGGGGACACGCCCCCACGCCTGACTCCCCCCTCCCGCCTCTCTTAGCTCTCATCCCCCATGCTGGCCCCCGCCATAGCCGCTGAGTAACCACTTCTTGACCCTTTTTTTGTTGGGCTCCTAAGCAGGTTTCTATGAACATATGAAGCCGCCCGTGAGAGGCAGTGTGGTGTAGTGGTTGGACTGTGTTAAACTCTGGAACTCATTCCCACAGGAGGCAGTGTTGGCTTTAAAAGAGAATTATACAAAGTCAAGCGATCAGTCGCTACTAGCCACAATGGGTATGTTCTGCCTCTGCTCTTAGAGGCAGTATACCTCTGAATATCAGTTGCAGGTGGGGCGTGTTGCTGTTGCAGGGTTCCCAGAAGCATCTGGTTGCCCACAGTGAGCAGGATGCTGGACTAGATCTGCTGTTGGCTTGATCCAGCAGGGCTTTTCTTTTGTTCTTACTGCTGACCTGGGTTCACAAATGTGTGACTGAATCAGATGTACATGCAAAGAAGGCCAAGGGGTTAGTATTTGCTTCCATGCTCCCTCCTCTGTGACCAGTATGGAAATATAAACTGCTGGCTTTTTACCTGGCTAGGTAAAAAAGAAGAAGCCTTCTATCATGGTGGGCAAGGGATAGAGTGAACTGGCTCGCTTCTTAACAGCCTGCTGTGTTTCTGGGCTGACCATGGAAGAAATGAATTTTCTTCCTCTGTAGCTAGCATAGAAACTTAAGTGGGCTGATGGAGAAGACAGACTGATGTGTCTGTACTCTTCCCAGTTTGCTCATTCATCCTGGAATTCTTGGTTGCCTATGGCTACCAGACAAGTTATTAAATGCAAGGCTTGTGTGAGAGGGGAGGTGCATTTTTCTTTTCCTTTTTTCACAGTTATGTCCTCCAAGGAGCTCAGGGTGACCTTTGTGGGTGGCGCTGCCCCTTTTATCCTAACAGCCACACTGTGGAGTAGATGAAGCTGGGAGAAAGGTGAGCTTCAAGGTTCAAACAGGTTCAGATCCCTGCTCAGCTCCAAAGCTATGCCAGTTTACCCTGTCTCAGCCTAGCCTATGTTACATTGCACGCATCTTCCCTCTCAACAGTCTTGATACTACTTTCAACGTTATGCCAGCCAGACACTATGAAAATGACACGGTCTCTACCTGGGTGTCTTACAGTTTACATTTTGACATAAAATGCAGGGATGGATGATACAAAAATGAGCAAAGGGGAAGCGCCTTAAGAAAATCAGAGTGACAGAGATGTTATATTCTGAGGGAGCTCCTGGTGGTTCATTCCTTTGTCGTTAAACCAAAAGTGGGATAGGACAGAGCTGCTATGCTAGATTCCTGGCAGATGGGTGGCTGTTGTTTGCTGGGAGGGAAGAGGGACAAGGTGGCAGGGAGGTGGGTGTGGTTCAAATAGTCCAGCAATCCTGCCAATGTGCTTGCATTATGCCAACCTCTCTGCTTCCTTGCTTACACCCCGCATCTGGTAAGCAACAGTATCCCACTAGCCAAGAAACTACGGTAGCCTAGGGGGACTTGCCTGTCACCTTCTTTACACAGCTTTAGGTGTCAGGAAAAAACATTCCTCTTCTTTGGCTAATTAAACAGTCTATGGCCTTTTAAAACTGGGGCTGGGGGGCATTGTTGTTGTTACGCTATGTATTTTTGTGTATTTATATTGTAAACCATCCTTTGATCTTTGGATGAAGGGAAGGGTAGTATAGAAATGTAATTATTAATAATAGTGGCTTTGCCTCAGATGGTGAAATGTGTCTGCTCTAAACCCAGGATTGCAATTTGTGTTAGAGGCAGATGCCTGGGAGTTAAATACAGTGGTACCTCAGCAGCTTCTTTTTTGTCAAGTCTTAAAATCTTAATCTGTCTTTACTCACGGTAGTGGAGGGACAGGTTTAATGAAGCTAGGGTTTTTAAAGAAAGGCTTTCCTAAAGAACTCTGTTTTCATTAAGAACTTCAGAGCAGGTAAGATTGGGAAGCAACAGCAAATAGAAGCTGACCCAAGTTGAAGAGCAAAATGGGAGAAAGTGTGGGAGGCAAGAGAAGATGGTGAGCTTGTGTAGATGTAAGGAGTAAGAGATTTGGAGTAAAGGGAAGGTGTATGATCAGAATGGGGGATCACATTAATAGGGAGGAATAGAAGCCTGATGGTGGTGAAAAGTGCAGTAAGAAGCCAGTGAAGCAACTTGATGTGTCTGGGGAGTGGGGAACGGGAACGATTTTGAATTCTTCTCTGTCAACTCCTAGGTATTTCTTCTCTTCTGCTTCAATTTAGTCTTTGAAGACTTGATTGCCCTCATCTTCTGACTTCAGTACATAATGGTCTCCTGTGTTCTCAGGTTTCCATGCATGAGTGAATAAGTCAAAGTTCAGAGGTGGAGTGCAGGTTTTTTATGTATAAGGTGTTAGGTGCCCTGTTAAAAGATCTTGGGCATTACACTTGGGAAGCAATTTTTGCTTGTTAGAGGGTTTCTTGGTATATATGGAAAGTCAGATGGACCACTGTTATTGTGGTGCTGGGTATCTCCTTGAAAAAATGAATGTTTGAGGAAGGTGTGTAAATGATCATATGAGAAAGCAAGAAGTGATCCTCTGATTGTAGGAGGTAAAGTGATTTGTTTGCATGAATCTGCTTTTTGACCAGCTTTTTAGCCAGTTTGTTTTCACAGCTTTGTGTTCAACAACACATCAAGGTGAGCTCCCTTTGGCAAAGAAGTCATGATGCTAAAATATCTCTTAATTTGTTAGTAGTTCCCTGCTCTCCCCGCTCTGGCTCAGATTTGGCCACCAGCCACCTGAATTATCAGCTTAGTGTGCATTCACATATTAGAACATATTAGAATATAATGAGTCTGGCACTGGAGGTTCACAGGCCATGCTTCATTATGTGTCAGTGTAGCAAGCACCAGGAAATGTGAGCAGCTGCCTGGATGAGTGGTAGTCAGGTGGCAGCCTTTTTGCTTGCTGCTGGTTGGGAGCAAGTGTATTCAGATTTAGCTAACCACCAGCACACATTGTGCTGTTGCTCTGTGTTATAGGTCATAAAATCAGCTCTGGGAGGCCACTGTGTTACTGCTCTTTGGGATCATGGCCTGTGCTTTGGGAAAACCACTTTCAGCCTCCGTTTCCCATCTGTAAAAGAGGACTAATAGGGTCACCGAGGGTATGAAGCACTTGGTAAATTAAAAATGTAATAGAGATATAAAAGAGCATGGCTTTCAAAGAATGGCTGAGAAGCAGAGTTAAAAAGAAAATATAAAATAAGTGATCAATATTGCATAAGTTGCTTATGGTCAGTTATGGGAGATAACACTGAAATGATGTCAGTCAAAGACATACTTGAAATTATACCCCAAAGATAAAGCAGCATGGCTGGCACACAAGTGTGGTGCATCCTTAGTTTAGCAACATTACAAACTCATAAGAACATAAGAACTCTGTTAAATTGGAACCAGTTAATCCAATAACTCTCCCACTCAGGAATTAATGTTTAATTTGGAGCAACAGGACCAGTGGTACTATATGTGTGAATGGATGCTGGCTAGGCCCTGACTCTTCGCTTCCAAATGTATTAATATATACTACACCAAGATCTTAACAGCATGTACTGAAACTGAGACAGCTATTTTTCACTAGTTCCAAAATAGGGAGAAACCATTTTTCCGTTTCTAGAGGGATATTTGTTTCAATAAGTGCAATAAAATAAAAATTTGAAAAACAATGCATGAGAATGGAGATGTCTTCTAAAAGTCAGGTAGTTGTCTATAATTTAAAGTGAGATATAATAAAATAACAATACAATGAAACATAACTAATAGCTATTAAAAGTAGCAATAAAATCAAGAGCATACAATGAGGCCATTAAAACACTGGAAAACAAAGAAGGCTTCCTTCTTGGTGCCTTAAAACCATCAAATTTTATGGACATGGGGAGAGAGTTCCACAGATGATGTGAGCTGACTCTTCCTGGTAGCCACCCCCACCTCCCCTCCAAAGATGGAGGCACCCAGAGCTGGCCCTGTGGTGAAGATGTTCATGATTATGCTTTGCCTTTCTGTGCAGAGCAGTTGCAGTGCATGCAACCTCTCTCCACTCCTATGAAACAACATAAACATTTTTTTAAAAATCCATACAAAAACCCTGGTCAAAACCAATCGTTATTAAAGCACGGAAGTTCATTCCAGCCCACGAGCCTTCAAGAAAGGTGCACAACTCATACACAAATCAAATCTTTCTGTAGGCTTTTGTGGGGGGTGGGGTGGGGAATGTTTTAAAAAACCTTTAACCTCAGACAGCAAGACTCATTTCCATTAAAACAGGTATATGTTGAAATGGAAACTGCTTTTAAAGAAATAACCTCCGCAGAGACTGGGTCCGAAAAAAGGTGGTGGGTGGGACAGCATTGCAATAAGGAAATTAAAGTGACTCAAAACGGAGGGGAAACAAACTGCATATTTTAGTCAAAAGAAATGGACAGGTGAAGAGAATTATTTAGACTTATTAATAGAAGTATACAGTATTGAGAAATGAATTCTTGAGTTATTTTTAATATCTTAATCTACAGGATAACACTAAATACATGGGGAGGTGCCTAAATCATTGCTTTATAGAAGAGTTCAATGCGTGCATTGCCATGGATTTTATCAGGGAATCCTGTATTATCACATATCTATAATTTGATTGCCTCAGCAATGCAAGGTGTGGAAAGGTACCAACACAGTGAGTGCCTGGTGCCCTCTGGTGGCAACTAGGCTACAGTGCAGAACTTAAAAACCATTTCATAGTTCCATTTTAAAGGATTTTAAAAAACAAAACCTGCCGTCTGGCTTTTTAGATTTGCATGCTCTTCTTGACAGGAGGGGATAAAAATGGAGGTAGAGAAGACAGGAGTAGTTTGTTATTGAAACCATTGACCTGACTAGAAATAAGAAATGTTGCCAGGCTTAAATTTGCATAAGTTTTTTTATTTTAAAAAAACACGCAAAGATTTTCTCATGTAGTGCTTCAGCCACAGATGACTGCTTGGCTGTACGCTTGGTGGAAAAGCAAGCCTGCTTGATAGTCTTTTGCTGATGTGGTGAGAGGTTTTACTTCCTTTTTCAAGAGGGTGTGTCTTTCTGTCCTTGGGGACAGCTCTAGCTGTTTCATCATGTTGCACAAAGCCTTTCTCTTTCATGCGCAGCTAGTTTGTGCTCTCTTTCCATTATGAGGGATAGGATGGGTATGAAGGAAGGGTTTGTGTATTACAACAACCCCGGGGAGGAGGTACAGTGTGTGTCTGCACATAAAGACACATTGCACACACACTTCTGGGATCCTTGTAGATGAAGGCCAGATCACCAATTATTGGTCTGGAGGGCAGGTTTTGCCGCCAGCACCAAAACTCTGTTAAATAGAGTTTGCTGTTCAGAGTTAGTTATGCCAGTCAGTAGTAGATAGGGCTCTCCGTGGCTCTTAATAATGATAGCTAAACAGATCCTGCTGAGTACCAGATGCTGGCACATACAGGAAGGGCTGTTGTCTTTGTGCTCTGCTGGTGAGCTTCCCGGAAGCATCTGGTCGGTCACTGTGGAAAACAGGATCCTGGATTTAGATGGACTGTTGCTCTGATCCAGCGGGCGCTCCCCCCGCCCCCCCCGGTCTGCTTCTCTTAAGTGTAACTCATTATTTCGTCGTTCACCTCTATGGGGAAATTGTTCATTCATACTGAGGCAAGTAAAGGTACACTGAGTAGCCCCTTCTGGCATGGAGGATAAACCTCCTCTCTGACTTTGGTGACTCCAGCCGCTGAATGTCAAGCCTGCCCCTATTGCATTGCTGTACCCCCTGCAACTCAATATCCGCAGGTTTTGTTCAGTGTCTTGGTCAGTTCAGAGTGCAACAATATTTCATATATTTTGGAAAGTGGATTGTCCATCCATCCACCTGCGTGTCTGTTCTCTATAGGTTTGGCTGCATATCAATATATATTTTTGTGTATTTCTATTCTAAACAAATTTAATAAATAATAATAATAGATCATCCTGTGATCCTCAGATGAGGAGCGGTATATAAATTTAATAAATAAATAATAATAATAAAAATAAAATATAGCATTGCCAAACTTGGCACAAGAGTTCCCAAGTTAGGCAACTGTCTTTGTTGGTGTTGGATATTGAGTGCCATTTTGAATCAAATGTAACTTTGGCATGACTTTGTCCAATTTTCAGTGTGACGGGTCCAAACACACAAATTGCTGTATCCATTTAAAAATCATGATTTATTTTTGTTGTTTCTAAGAATTCCCAGGCAGTGCCAGACATTCCCCACAGGTATTTATGTAAACAGGTTCCTGTTTATGTCTGTTGTTATGATGAATAGTGTGTGTGCATGGAGGAAGCGTGCAGTTAAACTATGTCATTCCCTACCCCATCACAATGATAACCACCAGGAAAATGGCTAGGTAGTGCAGTCAAGAGTTAGCTTTGTTTCTTTAGCTACAGTTAAATTCCATCTTTCAAAGCAGCACATGTGGCTCTCCCATTTTATCTGTCTTAACAACCCTATTAGCCTAGAGATGGGGACTGCCCCAAGGTCACCCTGCGTAGTACAGCATCGCAGGGGCCAACCAGATGCGTCCTCTGGGAAGCCCAGAAGAAGGACCTGAGAGCAACAGCAATGCTCCCCACTTGTAATTCCCAGCTACTGATATTCAGACATATGGTGCCTTTGGCAGTGGAGGTAGAACATAGCCACCATGGCTTGTAGCCATTGATACCATGAATCTGTCTAACCCTATTTTAAAGCCATCCAAGTTGTTGCCCACCACTACCTCATAGTTGAGTGCAATTTGAACCTGTATCTCCTTCATCACCCAGTGGTTAAAGTCTACCCACTACATCACACCTGCTCTCTTAGTCCAGAGAATGAGTGTGGAAACCATTATTTGCCTGCCAGTGACAAACATGGTGCAAGTATTATCCTGTGTGATGTTGAATTTATTATTATTAATTTCAGGTTTCAAAATCTCTCTGTGGATTTTCCTGCATGGAAGGGAGTGGTGACCCATTGGATGACCTCCAAGGTCAGAATGCTGCAGAGGAAGGAAGGAGACCCTCATTGCCAAGAGGTGGTTCGGTTTGCAGTGCTTTGCAGAGTGCTCACTCTTTTCCTCCAGGCAAGTCCCCCAACACCAAGCACTGAAATATACAATATCACTGGAATATAACCCGCCTGGCATTCTCAGATCAGGACAGATGACACCAGAAATAAATACTGGGTTCTTTTTCATATGTTTAAAGTTCAAAAAGTAGTATATCTGTTCTAGATAGAGAGGGGTCATACCTAGCTCAGTGTTGGAGCACATGCCTTTCTTCCAGAAATTTGCAGGTTAAAACCCTAAACATTTCCAGTTAGAATGATCAGTGTAGAGAGTTTGGGACAAGTGGGATCCACCAAGGATCTGTATTACGGGGCTGCTGTTTTTTAACTTGCTCATAAATGATACAGGGTTTGGGGTGAGCTGTGTGTTGACCCAAGTATGCCAATGATACTAAAGTATTAAAAAAGTGATTGTGAAAATGATCAAGGAGCTGTAGCAAATCCCATGAAGAGGACGGATTTCAGCATTGGAGCTTTTTAGCTTAGAAAAAGGGTGAATAAGGAGGGGAGAGGACACAATAGAAATGCATAAAAATTATGCATGGCGTGGAGAAAATGAACAGAGAGACGTTTTTAAAGTACTTTTTCATCAGCACGTAGTTTGTTATTCTAAGGCATTTGCTGCCATGCAATGTAGTGATGGCCACCAACTTAGATGGGTAGTCCAGCTGGTCTGGCAGAGCCCTAGGACCATCTCTAGCCATTGCAGCTGAAGCTTCCTCTGTCTGCTAGCATCCTTCGATGGTGCAGGAAATATAGTGACTGGGCCCTGTCGCTACAGTTCCTCATCGGAGACTGTTACATAAATGATTTTAGAACTCCCAAAAAAGGTGTGATTTTTGGAGTGTGTATGAGTACGAATGGCATTCCCTCAGCAAATCAAACAGAAATGCAGCAGGAAGCTGCTTCTGCAGATTAGTTATGCACAGAATTCATGTGTTGTGGCATAATAGTGTGCTCTCCATCACGTACTCAATAGTTTGGGAACCAAATGTAAGTCCACACACATGATGTGGACTACACACTTTAAAAAATGAAAACAAAATATTCTCAATAATCCATATTCTGTTCTGGAGAGCCAATCCTATGCGGAATTTCTGAATATTAGTAGCTGTGCCTTTGTAATCTCTGAGCAGGTGAGATCCCCCCCCCAGCTATTCTTGTGCTCAGAGGAACATGAAGCCAGCTGCAGGAGCTTTGTCTACATAATAGGTATTTGACATTTAAATTAGGCATATTTTTACTGCAGTAGCAAGGGAGGCCCTGAAAAGAGAGCATCCTGTGCATTTTGCCAAAGATACCACTTTTTCTCACAAAATCTCAACCAACTTGTGAACCAGAAGCACTGCTTTTAGGCTGATAGGAATGTTGCTCCCAATTTCTCTGCGGTGATGGCAACCAAAAATTCAGCTTACCTATGTCATTGGCAGTGTAAGATGAGTCTTCACGAGGATTAAGGCATTGGAGTTTTGGGGTGGCTAGAACCAAAATTAAATGCAGCCTGTAGGGTTAAGGCAGCCTTCCCCAACCTGGTGTCCTCCAGATGTTTTGGTTTACAACCCATTATACCTGACCATTGGCTATGCTGGTTGGGGCTGACAGGAGTTGGAGTCAGCAGCAGCTGGCTTGGGGAAGCTGGCTTGAGTCAAGACTAAAGCAAACAGCACATACAAGTTCTGAGACTTCATACCTGTGTAGGATGAGAAAACCAGGGTAAACTGGAGCCAGAGTAAGCCATTACTAAGAATTCAGTTATGTGAGAGTGAATTGAGGAGAGATGGAAGAGAAACAATGCATTTCTGTGGCAGCCCCCCAACTATGGAATTTCTACCCAAAAGAAGTCAGATTGATACTGTCCATGGTGGCTTTTGTGCAGGCAGTGAAACACTTCACTTTTTTCCTGGTTCTTAATCATGGCGTTAACTTCTCTATTCTCATTAGTTTACAACTTTTGGGTTTAATTTTGTTTAAAATTAGGATGCAGGAGGCTAGCTTGGGAGATGGAAATCCATGGCTAGTACTCACAGGACTCAGAGGCTGAGGAAGTTCCCTGCTGGATCAGAGCAAAGCCCATTAAATCCAGCGTCCTGCTTCACGTAGTGACCAACTAGAAGTTGCTGGAGAGCCACTGTCAGTCAGAGTAGACGGTGCAGCGCTAGATGGACAAATAGGCAAAACTGTTATAAGGCCACCTCCCATGTCCCTGTGTTGTACATGGGGCATATTAACACAGTATGCTGGCCAAAGAGTGTTGCATATTCCAGCCTTAGAAGAACTTGGGGTAGAATGCAGTTTCATCTTGACAGCTACAATGGGATCCTACTAAAGTTCCTTGTAGGGCCATGGGTAAGTTCTTACACTGGGAACTGTGCCAAATACACACACAGTTGATGCCAGACAGACTGCTAGCAGGAGAATTCCTTTTTGGTCCCTTATAGCTTGGGCTGGGTATTGTCGTCTGGCCAGCCAAATAGCCACAGGGTTGTTGTTTTTTATGGAAAGGCATGACTGCTTTTATTGAGTTTGATTTCATTAGATGTGTGGCTCTCTCTGTTCCTTGTGTGCCAATACATAATTGGATTGATTGCACAAAGGAAACCCCTGAGTTTGACATTTCTGTATGCTTCGTCTGGCTTGGCAAGTTGGAATGACTTTTCATTTGGCAGATGATCTCGGTGCACATTTAGAAATTGCGGTCTTTGGCATGTTGCTCTTTTCTCCCACAGATTAACGAGGTACAAAGCATGCTCACTGATCAGTTGTTTTCCCCCCAAAGCACCTTCATCTTGGCATACAGGACTGCTGGCTTAGCATAGTGGCTAAGTTGCTGGTTCAGATGCCACCTCTGCCATGAACTCATGAAACAGTTGTAGTTTCAGGCCCACATCTGCAATATGGTGATAGTAATACTGGCACCCTTTACTTGGTTGTTGTAAGGATTGCAAGATACCGAGAAGAGAGCCTTCTTGGTAGTGGTGCCCTCCCTGCAGAACGCCCTCCCTTTAGATGTCAAGGAAATAAACAACTATCTGACTTTTAGAAGACATCTGAAGGCAGCCCTGTTTAGGGAAGTATTTTAAGGATTGATGTTTTTATTATGTTTTTAGATACATTGTAAGCCACTCAGAGTGGCTGGGAAGACCCAGCCAGATGGGCGGGGTATTGGTATTATTATTATTATTTTACTTAACCTACTTCCTTAGTCTTATCCATTATATGCAGTTTACAGTCTATTGGAGAAAGTCATTAAGGGTTGACATTAAGGGTTGTGTCCAATGCTAGTCCTATTTGAAGTGGGCCCTTTGGGTGGTCTTCAGGTAAGTTTTACTCAGAGTAGATACACTGAAATTAATGACGTGACTAAGTTAATTCCATTAATTTCAGTAGGTCTACTGTTGAGTGAAAAGTGGAAGTTAATGGACATGATTAACTTAAAGGTAAAGGGACCCCTGACCATTAGGTCCAGTCGTGGCCGACTCTGGGGTTGCGGAGCTCATCTCGCTTTATTGGCTGAGGGAGCCGGCGTACAGCTTCCGGGTCATGTGGCCAACATGACTAAGCCACTTCTGGCGAACCAGAGCAGTGCACGGAAACGGCATTTACCTTCCCGCTGGAGCGGTACCTATTTATCTACTTGCACTTTGACGTGCTTTTGAACTGCTAGGTTGGCAGGAGCAGGGACCAAGCAACGGGAGCTCACCCTGTCGCGGGGATTCGAACCGCCGACCTTCTGATCAGCAAGTCCTAGGCTCAGTGGTTTAACCCACAGTGCCACCCGCGTCCCATGATTAACTTAGGTTCATTAATTTCAGTGGGTCTACTCTGAGTAGCACTTAGTTGGACACTACCCTAAGGAAATAACATTGGTGGCTAAAGAAAAAAGTTCTCCTACTGCTGCATTTGCTCAAGTTGTTCGTTCTCCTGTTTCCCCGCTAGAAATGCCTCTAAAACAGCTCCTGCATGAGAAATTGCCCCAGACCCAGACGTAATGCCTTCAAGTCCTTGTTTGGGGCAGGGGATGACTTGCTGTGAGGCTTTGAATTCCCTCGTCAGGTTCAGGTCCCAAATCGGAGGGAACATGTTGCTTTGGAGAGGGAGGGGGACAGGATGTTGACTTGGCTGTCATTTTCCATCCTTTCTTCCCACTCTTCCCAGGCCCTTTTCAACCTCCTGATCCCCGACCATGCTGCTGATGCCTTCTCTCCACCCCGTTTGTCTGAGTACGGGTTTTGCGACTGGATCTTGGAATGGCTCCTGGGAGGCCTGTCACGGTGGGATGCGGAGCACTTCTTGTTTATAGCTGAGCACGGCTACGTGTATGAGCACAATTGTGCCTTCTTCCCCTTGTTTCCCTTGAGCCTGCGAGTGGCAGCGGAAACGGTGCTGTGGCCCTTCCAAGGCTTCTTATCTCTCCGGAGCCGCCTGCTCCTTTCTGCAGCTCTGCTCAATGGTCTGTTCTCTGCCTGGGCAGCATGGACTCTGTATAAGCTCAGCTGCGTGGTCCTGCAGTGCCGCAGGAAGGCGTTCCTGTCAGCCATCCTCTTCTGCCTCACCCCTGCAAACGTCTTTATGGCAGCTGCTTATTCAGAAAGCATGTTTGTCCTCCTAGTGTTTAGTGCCTTGTGGTGGCTAGAGAAAGGGCAGCATTGGGCCAGCAGCCTCCTCTTTTCGCTAGCTGCTGGCGTGCGTTCCAACGGACTGATCAATGCTGGGTTCCTCCTCTATTCCCAGACAAAACTCTTTGCCTCCCAGTTGCAGGCAAGGACAGGAACTGGAGTAAAGCCGCCACAGATCTTGGGTCAATTCCTAAACCTGGTAGCTTCCCTGGTGGTGATGTCTGCCTCTGTTTTCCTGCCATTTGTTTTATTTCAGTTCTGGGCATACCTTCGGTTCTGCAACACCACGTTTAGCCCTGAGTATGCTGTGCCGGACCCACTGTTGCAACTGGCTGCACATAAGGGGTATCGTGTAGCAGCCTCAAATGGTGTGGCACCACCATGGTGCTCCTGGAACTTTCCTGTGCTCTACACTTACATTCAAGATACTTACTGGCATGTCGGCTTCCTCAGGTACTTTGAGCCCAGACAGATCCCCAACTTCCTGCTAGCTGCACCCGCCATTGTGCTGGGCTCCTGGGCAGCCTGGCGGTACATCGCTGCAAACCCCTGGCACTGCCTAACACTTGGCCTGCTGAGAAGAAAGACTGAAGGAATGAAGGGAAAGGACTTGAGCAAGCCAGCTACTGGTTTTTACTCTCCTGGTGCATTTGTTTACGTGGTCCACGCAACAGTTCTGTTGGTGTTTGGGACCTTCTGCATGCATGTGCAGGTGAGTTTTGCAGATTCTTGAAGGGCTGTCAGATAGCGGGGTGGTGGCAACCCGAGCAAAAGCATATCATGGTGTTATCAGTCCAGCCTGGCATAAAACCTTGACCTCTGCTTCGAAGGGATACACACTATGCAGGAGCGAATGCTCAGCAGGAAGTGGTAGCCAATCTCTGACCCAAGACATTCAGACTTGAATTCTTTTAAAGGTGTGCATCTTACTCATTTTGTGTGTATTCTGAAAACTAATCTGCCACATAGCCCCAAGACTTTGGCCTTTCCTAGCTCTGTTAATCTAACATTCCTTAAACTAGAGATGAACGCTATGTGCCTTTATGTGCTAAGCAGGTATGCTAGTATAGACTTGGCATATATTAGGGTGAGAGACCTTAGGTCATGGTGGAGCATGTGCGCTGCATGGAGGAGGTCCAGGTTTCAGTCCTTGACATATCCAGATTAAAAGAGTGGCAGGTGATGAAAATGACCTGAAACCTTGAAGAGCCACAGCTGCCAGACTACTGGGCTAAATGGATGATAATCTGACCTGATATAAAACAGCTTGCTATGTTCCTGTGCACTTTGCCACTGAGCAGTTAATCTAGCTTTGGGTTAAGTACCAAGCAGAAGTGAAGCAAAGGAACTAGAAGCAGTTAGCTTGGAAAAACAGTGATTCTTAAGTTCAAATATGGGGGGAAAGGGATACTGTGAAAGAAGAAAGGTGGTACTCTCCTCCCAGGGAAATCAACAATATTTGAATAACAGCAGCTGAAATTTGAACTGTGCAGAAGAGAAGACTTCATACTTCTAGGCAGCAGACCTCAGTGATGAACTAGGTTGCCTGGGGAAACAGTGAATTCCCCTGCTTTAAGGGAGCAGCTGGATTATTTAGGCTGTGCAGATGTACATGGAAAAAGGAGTGGGTGTGGACTTTTAGTTAGCTGTTAAAGTTATGAATTGCTTTCCGCAGCAAAAAACTGAGAAGTGATTTACAAAATTGAAATACAAAAGTAAAATGCAGTAATAAACATACATGAACATACTGAAAACACAACCAAAGTATAAACATCCAATCGTTGAAACTTTTTAAACACTTAGAATCTGGGGTGAGGGGAAACTGGCCTTGTCCTTGATATTTAGACAGGCCAATAATCACTGATGTGCAAATCTGCCTCTTGGTGGAAGTCAGAAAAATAGGCTATGCTCTCAGAAGGGGCAGAAGGTGGTCTTTGTGTCTAAAAAGGGTGTGGGTACTTCCTCAGTTGACCTCACAGTTGAAATTTATACACCCTTTAAAGATGGGGAAGTGCCTCTCATTGGATTTGCAGCCTGATTCTGTCCGTGCTTATTTGGAAGCAAAGCCATAGATTTCAGAAGGGATTACTCCGAGATTAGTGTGCATCTGCAGATTACTGTGTATGGGGCTGGAGCCTTAGGCAGTGGGATTTCTTTCTGACTAAGCATGCATAGGATCTAGTGATATGAGCCCCATCTTATGCTCTGTTGTGGAGCAGCAGCAGAATGAAGTATTGGAAGCCTCGACTTCCAGAGGTGATAAGTTTCTCCCCTTCTACACCAAAGCAGGCCCTGCTGTTTGCTGTTGGACTACCTTGCCACTAGGTTAAAAAGTCCCTGTGCTGTTCAGCATTGGAACATTGGTCAAGGGGTGCTTTAAGAGTTTGGGGTGAATGCAACGGAGGTGAGGCTACCCTGTTACGATTTTTGGCCCAGAGGCTCCCAAAGTAATGCATGGCATATTGATGTAAAAGAAATGTAATAATATAAAATAGCAAAAACACCAAATACCCACTAATCACACTGGATATCTGTTTGTGAGCTGTATTCATGCTCTTGCAACAGATGCAGCTTCCAGCAATCTATCATTTCCAAGCCATACCAGCTCTCTCTCTCTCTCACACCCAGCCTGTCACCTAGAAACAAGGCGATCTACTACCAATCACCCTTGGGGAGTGCCATCACTCTCAACACATCCCAAAGGAACAACCGAAAGTGGCTGCCCCCATAGGGATGGCTCACTGGCAGTGACCAATCACCGACAGAAGTCTCCAAATAAATAGGTTTCTTCCCAGCAAACTAACTACACCTATGGCAAAGTTCTTGCTCTTCCCTAATGGGCTAGCTGCCCAAATATGGCTCTTCTGATAGACTGCTATTCTCAAGGTGCAGCAAAAGTGGCTGGGCAGGCTAAGGTTAGTATTCACCTCCCAAGTGAGAACTAGTGTTATGTATTGTGTGCCATAATGCTCCTGCTTTAAATTTCAGTCACTGGGTAGTCTTGGGCAAGCTTCTGTTCACTCCTCCTTATCTACTTGTCTGCAATATGTGGGTGGTCATATCAGCCTGCCTTACAGGACTTGTTGTAAGGTTTACTAAGATAATGTATGTGGAATGCTTTCGAACGCTCAGGAAAAGCACTATATAAATACTATGCAATTAGTATTATTAATGATTGTAGCATCTTAATAGCTATGGGAGCAGCAGCTCAATGGCCCCTAGCATTAATCCCAGATGATAATTTTTATTGGGATGATGATTTTTAAATTTATATAATGCTCTGTCCTGGTGAGAACTCTGTTCAAAGGGTTGCCATATAGACAGTGGTCATCACCTGTTCCCTGGAAGTGCTTTAAGAGAGAGAAAGTTACAAGAAAGGGGAAGTAGGGAATTCCCCTAGATTCTTGGCAGCAAGAGTTGTCATGTGTTTGCTTAATCACTTCCGCTTTTGAGCCTGGTGGTTAGCAGCTTCAGAAGTCAGAGGCATAGTAGAAAAGGCACATGCTGGAAGGCACATGCCAGAACCAAACTTCCAACTGAGTAATAATTTATCTTTATTCCATAATAAACATCTTTCAAACTGAGCTTTGATCCAGAAACCCATTTTGCAATTGGTTTTCAAAGGGTCTCACTCTCAGCACCCATCAGCTAATCTGCACAGAGAGGAAGCTCCTTTTAAGGTACACTCTCAGCTCCAGTCAGCAGCGGACCTTCAAATGGACTTGCTTTCAGCACCCATAAGTGCTCCTGATCCCAGCCATGTGCCATGCCTACTAGGGCCCATGAGCCAGAGGTTCCCCAGCGCTGCTGGCTTGATAAACAGATAAACATTCAGAAATTTTAAAGTGGCATGCAGTTACACGTAGAAAGGACAGTATTTAGTTCTTTTCTGGGTAGAACAGAAGATCTTAAGTGTTGAGGCTGACCCTGACCTAAACCTGGCAAATTGTTCAGACCACTTCATCTGCATCTTGTGCTTTTTCTTAAAAGGGGATTTATGCTTCTTGGAATTATGTTGAAAGGTCTTGGGCACGTGCACAATGAAATAACTTCTTCAATTTTTTAAAATAGGTCCTTACCAGATTTTTGGGCTCCTCTTCTCCAGTACTTTATTGGTTCTGTGCTCATCTGCTTCATGACTATGAGCCTTTGCTACAAAATGGGAGCCAATCTTCACAGCATGGAACACCCCGCTCAGATAAGCCCTCATTGGCAAACTCTCTTCCTAACTGGAACAGAAATGAAAACCCTGTGCTCACACTTCTGTACAACTGGAGGCAGACTACCACTCTCACTAAGTGCATTCTGGGATATGTACTTTCCTATTGGATGCTGGGGCTGGTCCTTCACTGCAATTTTTTCCCGTGGACATAAGTATGTAGAACTGGGTAAGCTGATTGACTAGAGCATAAACTGAACATTTTCCACCTTGGTAGTATTGAAGCTAATCAGCATCTACATGAAACTGCTAGGAGAGAGTTGGAGCTCACCTGTGTGCTGATGACAACAGAATGTGCTAATTCCTTTCTCTTCCAGCCAAGCCAGAGAGTATTGAAGTGTTTTGTTTTTTCCTCCCAATACACTCAGCATTGTGTAGTTACTGAGCATACTTAGTCCGCAATTGGCTTTTGTCATTCCTCCCCACCTTTAGTGTGTGGAGTTGTCATTCTGTAAACCTTCGGGTTCTTCCACGCCTGCTGATATCTCCGTCTTGTGCTTAGGGTAAAGACTAAAGGGGACCCCTGACCATTAGGTCCAGTCGTGACCGACTCTGGGGTTGCGGCGCTCATCTCACTTTATTGGCCGAGGGAGCTGGCGTACAGCTTCCGGGTCATATGGCCAGCATGACTAAGCCGTTTCTGGTGAACCAGAGCAATGCACGGAAACGCCATTTACCTTCCTGCCGGAGCAGTACCTATTTATCTACTTGCACTGACGTTCTTTCGAACTGCTAGGTTGGCAGGAGCAGGGACCGAGCAACGGGAGCTCACCCCGTCGCAGGGATTTGAACCGCCGACCTTCTGATCGGCAAGTCCTAGGCTCTGTGGTTTAACCCACAGCGCCACCCGCGTCACGTCTTGTGCTTACATGGTGCTAAACCACAGAGCCTAGGACTTGCTGATCAGAAGGTCGGCGGTTTGAATCCCCGTGACGGGGTGAGCTCCCGTTGCTCGGTCCCTGCTCCTGCCAACGTAGCAGTTCGAAAGCACGTCAAGGTGCAAGTAGATAAATAGGTACTGCTCCGGTGGAAAGGTAAACGGCGTTTCCGTGCGCTGCTCTGGTTCGCCAGAAGCAGCTTAGTCATGCTGGCCACATGACCCGGAAGCTGTCTGTGGACAAACGCCGGCTCCCTCAGCCTATAGAGCAAGATGAGCGCCGCAACCCCAGAGTCGGTCACGACTGGACCTAATGGTCAGGGGTCCCTTTACCTTTAAACCTTTGGGTTCTTCCACACCTGCTGATATCTCCATCTTGTGCTTACATGGTGCTATTTTGGTTATATAAGAAATGACAATCACGATTAGTTTTCTGTTGGTATATAGGGTGGGGCAAACAAAGTGATGCTTAATCCAGATAGAGGTGCTCTTGGTTAGAAGAGAAAACTCTGGGAAAAAGAGTTCAGTCTGTCTTGGAGGGCGGTTCACTTCCCTTAAAAACTCAGGTTCACAGCTTTGGAGTTCTCCTAGATTCATTCTTAGGTTTCCAGGCAGCAGCTGTGGGTAGGACACCTTAGGCTGCTGTGCCTGCGGAGGTTCCTCAAGAGAAGAGATGTAGTCACAGTAGCACATGCCTTAGTTGCATCAAGATTTGGATTACTGCAGTATCTTCTACATGGGGCTGCCTTTGAAGTGCTTATAAACTTCAGTCAGTCTGAAACACAATAGTTAAGCCAGTTATTGAGAGCACATTGGTCCCATGTTGCTAGGGTTTCACCAGCTGCTGGTCTGTTTTCTAGGCCCAACTCAAAGTACTGCTCCATTTATGAGTGCTAAGCAGCTTAGGGCCAGGGTTTCCAAAGGGCCATCTCTCATTTGAGCTCAACTACTTATTAAGATCAACTGGAGAGATCACCAAGAACTGGAAATCCCTGCCGTTAACCTTTTTTTGTTGGTACCACAAGGTTTGGAATCTGGCACTGATGGAAAAGCTAATTCACAGATTAAAGTTGCTACAAAAAGGAACTGAGTTGGACAAATTTCAGGATTTATGGTACATTACACAGACCACCAAGGACAAAAATGTTTGTAAAGCTCCAGCCACACGTGGTCAACTACACCTAAGTACTTTGGGCTGACAGATAAAATAGAAACAAAAATCAGCTAATGAATTCTCTTCACTACTTTGAACCTGATTATATTATGCAACATTATATGATGAACTGTCTCTTCATTGTTACATATTTTTGCAATTTTATATCAAAATCAATAAAATACTTTTTAAAAAATCTGATGGAGAGTGTCTCCTTTGCATCCTGTCTGTATCTTAGGTGTGTTTGGTGTAGATGCAGAGGAGAGCAGTACCTAGACTTTTTGAGGGTGATCTGGCTCACCCCTTGCTGGTTTCCCACCATCTCGTGGAAACTTTTGTTTTCCAGAGAGCACTTGGCCTGCTAAGCTTATAATTGGTTTGTCGACTATCTGAGGAATGATATTTTTAAAGGTTACCTTTTCTGTTGTTTCTTTGACTTTATAAAAATTTATTATTATTATTATCTTACATTTTAAGTTTTGTAGTAAGTAACTTGTAGCAATTATTCCATAGAAAGATGAGGTATAAATATTTTAATAAAAAATAATTTCAGTATACCGTATTTTTCATCCCATAGGACGCTCTGTCCCATAGGACGCACCTAGTTTTTTTGGGGGGAAATAAAGCACCGACCCCTCTCGCTCTCCAAGCTTCAGCGAAAGCCTGCATTCGCCCCATAGGACGCACCCAGATTTCCCCTTCATTTTTGGAGGTGGAAAAGTGCGTCCTATAGGGCGAAAAATACGGTACATGAAAATGAGCTGCTGTTGGGGATAGATTGGGCACAAGACTGCTATTTATGCCTGCACATAACAGCTTTCATGAAACCTTTTTTAAAAAAATATGCACTTTGTCTAATGTATATAAAACACTGGATAACAACACTCTGATGTGACCAAGAAACAGAACCTGAGATGGAGCTAAGACATGCAGATAGGAATATGCTTGATTTTCAAAGGTTTGGATTAGGAGGGACAAGGAGCAGGTTAAGCTCCCCATGGTGCCCTGGAGTGTAATTGCTTTCCACCGTCTATGTCAGAGGTAGCAAAGATGTTAGAGTCCTTCCAGCATGGCCAGTGGTTAGGGATGATGGGAGCTGAAGTCCAACATATCTGGAGGACACCATGTTCGCTACACCTGATGTAAGCGAATGGTTGCCATTCATGCCTATGGAAAAAACTTAAGTGGTATACTTTGTGGTAACACTTGTAATGGGTTTGTAAACTGGGGTGCCTGGACTCGACAGGGATCCCATAGTGGTATGTTTGCACACACAGCAAACACACTGCAGTCCCTCTCAGGCAAGGCTGCATGCAGGGTTCAAACCTGTCCTCTGCTCACCCATCACAATGAAGAGCGTTTTGCCAGGGGAAGCCAGGTATGATTACCATTTGATATTGTAGCCCATTCAGCATGTAAAGTGCAACCTACCAGCTGAATACAACACAGATGCAGACGGTGAGTCATTGCACAGGAGACAAAAACGTTTCCCCCCGTTTTCCAACCACATCTTTGTTTCACTAGTGCAGCAAACCATATTTGTCTTATATACATTGTGACTTCTGTACAGGATGCAGCATAATTTTCATTCATGGGAACATATTGCTTTGAAGGGATAGTACATAATTCTGTTGACAAACAATACATGTTTACCTAAGTAAATAGGCAAGAAGTTCTGTAAGCTTAAAATGTTTAAAACAGTGCATGATAAACAATAAACCTTTCTCACATATATGGCTTCTCTTGTGTGGGAATAAAGGGTAGCATTTAACTAAGTTTTACTCAGAGAAGACCCATTGAAATGGGTCTTTTCTCCATATCTTTAGAAGTAGGGGAAATTATATATGATAGTTAATGGAACCTCCACCTTGAGAGAGTCGAGTACCAGATGCTCTTGGGAACATACAGCGATCAGAGAAAACCGGTTACAGTGCTTTCATGCCCTGCTTGTGAGATGCTCAAAAGGACCTTGATTGTTCCTTGCGGGAAACAGCATTTAAGGGATACTGATGTGTAGTAGCAACAACAACAACAGACCAGCCTTGTATCTTTACAAAAGGACGCCGCCGGCACTCTGCCCCGCGGCCAGACTCACTTCCCGCGGAATTCAATTTAAAGAGAGCGGGAAAAGCCTTGAACCCTCGGAAGCCGAAGGCCCGACAGGCCTTTTACTTGCAGACAAAGGAGTTTTCAGTATAGAGCAGCGCGGTGGGTGAGGGGAGGCGAGCGGGGCGGAGTGAAGAAGCGGAGGGAGCTGCCTGCGCGGCGGCGGGCCGTGGTGCGCGCTTCTTCCCCCCCTCCTGAGGGAAGGCGGCGGGAGCTGCTCAGGCAAGGCCGGCGAGCGCGAGGGGGGCGCTGCGGCGGGAGGCCTCGGCGGGCAGGGGGGGGTGTGCCGGTGCCCGCCCGCCGGCCGACTCATTCTCCCTCCGCCGCTGAGGGCGGGGCGACGGAGCTGCCGAGTGGGTCTCTCCCTGCCTGCCTGCCGGGCGGTCCTGGCTGCGCCAGAGGCCGCCGCCGCCGCTCGGTGGGGTCTGGACGGGGGAGGCCGGCCGGCGCCATCACCATGAAGGAATGCGAGTACCGGCAGATCCCGCCGGGCACCCCGGCCGCTCCTCCTTCCTCGGAGCCTCCGGCGCCGGCAGCCTCTTCCATGGCAGCCGCCGCCGCCACCCCGGCGCACGGGCGCCGCCGCAAGTGGGAGGTCTTCCCCGGGCGCAACCGCTTCTACTGCGGAGGCCGCCTCATGCTGGCCCGGCACAGCGGCGTCTTTCTCCTCACGCTCGGCCTCATCGTGGTCACCAGCGGCCTCTTCTTCGCCTTCGAGTGAGTCCGTGAGTGAAGGAGCCCAGGCTGGCGGGGGGGGGGACACACACCCAACGCCCCTCCTGCTTTTTGACATTTATTTACTTCCTTGCAAAACCGTGACCTCGCTTTCCAGCCCCTGCCCCCAAAGGGGTCGCAGAGTGTTTCCACATAGTCAACCTTTTTCGTTATTGCCGTCGGCAGCAGCCGAGCTTAAGGTTAAGCTAATTGCTAGAGGGTGTAACCTGTTTGCGCCTTGTGGCGACTGAAAGGCTGGCCAGGTGCGGCGTGGAATCAACCCTTTCCTCTACAAAGTCCCGCTGTGTTCAGTGGGTGTTTCCTCCCACTTTAGGGGTGCATAGGATTGCGGAGTGCATAGGATCGAGCCCTACTTCGCCAGGCTAATATCTAGTCCATAGAAGCTTAACATATATAACTGTCTGTGTAGGTGTAGGCAAGATTTAGGAGCCACTTTTTGATGGCGTTTTCTGAGCAGTAAACCAGTATGCCACAGTATATTTGTTAGGTGCTGCAGCCCTGTGTTTTGTGTGAAGGCACGGAGCCAAAGCTTTACTTGATAAGACAAGATAATACAGTGGTACCTCGGGTTACATACACTTCAGGTTACATACGCTTCAGGTTACAGACTCCACTAACCCAGAAATAGTACCTCAGGTTAAGAACTTTGCTTCAGGATGAGAACAGAAATTGTGCCCTGGTGGCACGGCAGCAGCAGGAGGCCCCA